CTGCGGTGCCCTGACCTCTGAGCGCAAGGCTAAGCTGGGATCAGTGCTTTGCAGCTCGAATGTTTAAGACCGGTTCCCCCACCCCCCACCCCCACCTCTGCCTGCCAACAGCCATTTGGCATGTTGCCATACTGGCCCGCACACACCTGCACACTTGCGCACGTACATTATCGATATGCAGTTGGTGGGCTGTGCACACAGAAAGACACGTGCACCTGCACGCAAGAAAGCCATCCACATGCATATGTTACTGTCTTGCCCCTGCTGTGCGCCCAGAGACTGGCACATGGGCGCACATGAAGCCACGCAGGCACATAGCCACACACACATACACACACACACAGCTGGAGAGATTCACCCCTTCTTCCAGCTCATGGCAGTGCCTCCCCAGCCGCCTTGCTGCCCATTGCTCCCAGACCAGTAGATGGGCAGCGTGGAGAGGCTCATTCAGCCCAGCAGCAGCTATTTCCCATGCATGCTTGAGGGATGTGAATGGCAGCATATTCCATGCCAACAGGCAGGGGAGAGCTGGGCACCCCAATAAGCACTGCTCCAGCTCCTCCCTGGTCACGGTGTGCTCTGTCCAAAACCCATGTGCCCAGGGATGTCTGGTTCTCTGCATGTCCCAAAGCTGGTGAGAAGTCACCCTCCCTTCCAAAGAATTGCAGTTCCAATGCCAGCCTGGCCTGACTCACCTGCCCCCGGGTGCCTGGCAGGCAAACCAGTCTCCTTTGGCCATAGGAAATCAGGCCCAGGGGAGAGGAATGGTCTTGGCTGGGCGCACACTCAGGTATACACACAGCCCTGCCCAGGGACGGCGATCACTTCCCTGTGGCTGGCCATCCTCATAGAAACACCCCACTCCCCCAAACACACAAACCTCTCTCTGCCCTCTTACCCCAACCCAGCACTGGCCAACCCCTCTGCCCCTCACATACACACTCAGCCCATCGTATCCCTGGCCCAGCTGGGTGACAGTGCCTCTGCAATGCCCGGAGTGCTGCGTCCCATTCAGGGCTCACGCACCCGGGTGCCTTTAGCCACATCTGCCTATTGCACATGTGCCATACTGGGCTCTCCTGCGCCAGCTCACCTCCTCGCAGGGTCAGGAGCCTGCAGACACGCTCTGTCCCTCAGAGGCTGGTTGTTGCAGTTGTGCCCAGCACACAAGAGCTTGGCCTCCCCAGAGCTACAGATGTGGGAGAGCCCTTGGGTGACAAGGGACTGGACTACACAACTGCCAAGCCATGCAGGATGGCACCAAGGGGCACGCTGCCTGAAACCAGCTTTCAGCCCTGGCTTTGCTCCCTATGCCCTGCTGCAGGGTGTACCTGAGAAAACCTCTAGCTGTGGGTACAGGGGAGGGTATATCTGCAAGCAGCAGCAACAAGCACTGGTGGGAAAAGGGGGAAGGGCCTGTCAAAGCCAGACACTTCCCTAGCCACTTCCCAAGACCTACCTAAAACCCAGCCCTGAGAGCTGCAAAGACCTTGAACACGGCGAGACAAGGAGCAGGCGCCATCAGGAGAGTGCAAAGGTCTGGGCCAGATGGGCCAGGCTCTCCTTGGGCTATGCATCACCACCCACACTTAATACGCGTAAGAGATACCAGTCACCCAGCACAAATGTCCACACACCTAAGCCCCTGTGAACACAGATCGTACCCAGGGAGAACCCATAGGAGCTGGATGCATGCACCCAGCAAGCTGCACGCTGTGCAGACAGGTGCCTGCAACTGTCCATGTCACCCAAAGCCCTGCACATGCATGCCAAGGCTTGGCCCTCCATGTGGATGGCAGTATTAGGCCCTCTGGCACTCTGCGCTCTGCCCACCGCTGTTCCTCTCCAGCTTTTCAGCTGGCTTCAGCTTAATCATTGCCCAGGTGACTGGCGGGGAGCGCTCTGCCCAGCCTCTTCTAGCTTGTTTGCCATCACCCCAAGGGTAAGCAGATCAAAGGGCAGTGGTGACACGTACCGTGCTGCCAGCGGACACTGTGTCCTGCCAGCACTTTGCCTGGGCCAGGCTACTACATCCTCTCTTCCCTCGTCCATGTCATGGGGGCAGAGCAGAGCTACTCGACCCTCCCTGGTGAAGCAGAACCTGCCAGCCCGAGGGCTCTGCTGAACGTACCAGGCATGATGCTGTTCTGCTTTGGGCCAGCCCCTGGGAACCACAGTTGCCCCTGCAGAGCATGCTGGCCCTCAGAGTGCCAAGCCACCTCTGCAGGCAGCGCATTTCAGTCAAGCACCCCTTGGGCTGTGCCACCACCTCCCTGCCCAGCAGAGCACAGCCACGCTGTGGGTGGGCTCCGCGGCAGGGAAAGCCTGGCATCAAGGACAGGGCAGAGGGGAAAGCAAACAAGGGGTGGATCTCCCTGGTTTCCATGTTAGCCCTGACAGTAGTCTAGACAGGCTGAATAACAGAGCTCCTTGTGCTGAGATGGGGTTGCACAGGGCTGTGTCCCTGCCAACATCTTCCTGCAAGCAGCACCACTTCCTCCACCACCCACAGGCACAGGCTCTGCTGGCAAGTGGAGGGGGTCTGGGCAGAGGAGCTAGACTGGCAGGGCCATGCCCTGCACCTCTGCCAAACCCTCACCACCCAGAAGCATTGCAAAAGGCAAAGCAGAGCCGCAGGGCTCCCAGTGATGGTCGGCTCCCAGGTAGTGGTGGGCTCCTAGGTGTGTCTCAGCAAGCTTGGGCGGTGCCTCAAAGAACCCCCACAGCACCCAGCTGGCCTTGCCAGGAACGTACCCCTTCCTCAGCTCCCTGCAAAGCTGGGCTTTCTCTTTGCGAGCGACAGACATCCAACCTGGCACAGTCTAGCCTAGCACCAGCCAGCATCCCCAGGCAGGCAGGAGTTATGCTGGAAATGCCTTGGTGATGGGGGCAGTGGGAGGCAGGCTGGCAGCAGGGACAATGCACAGCAGCAAGATTAAGACCTTAGTGGGCCATTGGTGCTGCTGCAGTCAGCAGTGAAACAGTTAAGTGTCTTGCTCCCTGGTCTTGGGAGGAGGAGAGGGCTGTGTGCCATCCTGCACCGTCCTTACACAGCCCTGGCCTCCTCAGCCCCACTTGGGACCAGGCACAGCCCGACTGAAGAAGCAAGAAGTAACATAAAGAACCCGGAAAAAGCAGGGTGGAGGGAATAGGCGTACCTTGGCAGGGGAGGAGATGTCTGTAATTTTATTTGCAGTGCACTGAAGTCATCTGCTAACACACACATTCTTTCCAAGCCCCTGTCCCGACCGCCGGCCTGGAGACAGGCAGTTCTTGCAGCAGACGCATTTGCTTACGCAGGCTATCACCTCGCAGCACAGCCAGCCAGCCGTGGGACGCGCTGCTCCGCAAGGACAACGGCATGCTTGTTCCAGGTCTGGCGTGCCAACTTCAACTGAAAATGAAGTCAGGGGCTGCCCCGGCAAGCTGCAAAGAGGCAAGTGGGCTCCACACTTGCCTTTCTCCTTGCCCACTCGTTGCAGAGGGGTCACACTGGGAATCTGCTTTGGGAACTGCTTGAAGGGGGATGCCCCAGAACTAGCCCACTTCTGGTGCTGAGCACCTGGATGGTGCTGGAGCCAAGCTGAACTGGGCTCAGAACCCCAACACAGACTAGTGTGGGGGGATCTGCTGCCACTGAGCACCCCACTGAGCCCTGGGAGCCCAGAAGGAGGAAGTAAGGCAGGTCGGTGGTTTCCTAGCACCCGGACTTTAGACAACTGAACCTGTGCTCTCAGGTGCTGCCCTGGAGCAGTGCCTGGCACTCTGCCACACTTTGTCTGCCCGTCCTTCCTGTCTCCTTCCCTCCATCCCGAGGGCAGTGTGGCAAAGAGAAGTGGTATCCACTCAGAGCTGCTTGGCACAAGGCTTTACAGCATCCCTGTGACGCTGCACGGGGGTGACCACTTGGCTCTGGGGAGGTGGGGCTCCCTGTCCCAGCCTGGGGGGCACAATTTGAGCTTCAGAAAGTCCCAGGCATGACCTGTTTGCCCCCACGCTGAGACAGCAATTCTGCTCGCCTTCTCCACCAACCTCTGCCATGTGCGCATCGTTGCCATCATCCAAACTTGCCTTCTGGTGTGCAGACAAAGCCTGAGCCTTCTTCAGAGTTGTAGGTTTCCCTGCAAGGCTGGACTGGCAGCCATGGCTGAGGATGGCAGGTTCACGAGCTCAAATGTGCTACCCCAGCCCCACTGTAAGCCTTTCTTTTTGGGCATCTGCGTCGGCACACACCATCCTCAGGGCACCCAGAGCTCAATGGGCCGGGGGGAACTTGTGTTTCTCCTCAGCACACGATACTGGGCTTTCAGGACCAGGCAGGTGCCCATCACCGGTGTATCTGGCTGCGTCGCTCATGGGTGAAAACCAGCAATGGAGTCAATTCGGTGCTACCTCCAACCTGCCAGCTCTGGTGAGTAATGGGGGCAGCTTCACTGCCACCTCCTAGCCCTGCCCACTAGGAAGCCCAGGCTGGGCAGCAAGGTCCCTGTGGGGCTGCCCAGCACCGGCCCAAGGTTGGCACATCCAGAGCTCACAGCGAGGGCCTTTAGGAGACAACACAGCAGCACTTTCTGCAGCAGGGGCAGTACTTATAGCAGCAGTTTCCCCCATTCACCTTCTGCTCACAGCCCTTGGATGGCTTGTCCAGACTGACCGTGTAGAAGGAGTCAGGGGATGTCCCATTGAGCATCTTCAGGCTGGCATAGGGGTTATATGGCCGAGACCAAGACTTCTCAGTGGAAATGGTCTGGCTGTTCCAGCTGGCTGTGCTGGCCTGGTTCGCCTGCTCCTCCAAGCTATATGTGGGCACAGCGGCAGGGTTGGCAATCACAGTGGGCGAAGAGGGCTCATCCTTCAGGTATCGAGTGATGAAGCTGTGCTGAAACTGGTCCCGTGGGATGTTCACGCTGGCATAGGGATTCTCGAGGGTGACACCACGATCCATCTCCCCTGCTCCTCCCGGTTCCTTGTCAGCCCACACGTCCTGGCTGGCGGCTGCAGAGCGAGCAGGCTGCCTCTCACCTCCCACCACCTACAAAAGAAAGACTCCTTTAACTCAGGACACAGGGGGATCTGCCTGCTCCAAAGTGCCGTAGGGCATTAGTGCCAAGGGCTGTTCCCATGGAACTTTGTTCACCCCTCCCTGCCAGTCCCATGAGCCCCCCCGATGCACGACTGTACATTTCAGATGTGTGGTCTGAGAGCCGAGATAGCAGAGCAGGAAGGAAGGAGGGAGAGGACACAGGGGCAGGCAGGGTGCTAGGATGAAGGAGGGGGTCCTGGGTGGGAGGCAGGGTGCAAATAGGGCAATGGGGTGGGGAAA